AACCCTTTCTTAGCTGTATATCTTTTACCTCAATTCTACATCATCTAGTATCGATCTTAGCTGGCTCATTGTAGGAATAGCCATTCGCCGGTCTCAGGAAAAAGGTGCTCATCGACGTCTCATTGCAAATTCAGAGCGACCGACAGTAGAAGGAGAACTCTGGAAAAGAGGTAGTGACCTGAAAACCAGAATGATTCTTTTTTTTAAAAAAAAAATTCCCTTTAGCGTTCTGGATGCTGATTGTCCTCGATACATACACGACTACAATGTTTGGGAGACCAAGAGCGATCTCGATACAAGAGTAATTTTTCTTGCTAATTGCGTTAGCGAACGAAAAATTGACTTGATTTCACAGCTTTGATTTGGATCCCCTCATTGAATGTGACGATGAATATTGGGAACCCACAGATTCAAAGCCAGCATTTATACAGCCTGAAGGAATCCCTTCGAAAATCTCCTATTGGAATAGTTGTCTAAAGCTGATAGAAATCCATGGTTTTGCTTTGCTGACTATCGTAAGTGATCATTTAGCTCTTGGGATCGTCAATGCGATTCAGCTTCCATAGTATTCAGTGAGAAAATCTGAACTGGGATCCAAGATGGGAATTGGGGATTCAAAGTGGTATGAAAAGGCCGTGATGGAGCTTGATTCAGCCTTGAATAAATGGCTGGACTCGGTGCCGGAACATCGTAGATTGCTTTTGTCCGTTGCCACTCAGTATTGTTGCTGACGCTCTCCAAACAGTTAAATGGGAAAATCAGAATGACACGTCTATATTCTTCAGCCAATCCGCTATCCTATATTCAACCTATTATTGGGTTCAAATCCAAATTCATAGGAAATTTATTCCTCGTCCTGGACACAGCTCAAGCTTGTTCCCATCCCTTACAATTTGTACAAATGCTGCCAGATCCTGCATTCGGATCTGCGAAACTTACTACAAGAAACAGGGGTCACCATTATACCCAAATATCTTGGTGAGTTTTGATATACAGTCGTCGTGCAGAGTTGTCTGAGCGTGGTACATTAGCTATCTTTGTTCAACTCCGCTGTAGTCCTTGCTCTGAATCTTGCCAGGTCAGCGCAACAGAATTCAAACTTTGATCCAATGAGGGATTTGTTAGACATTCAGCGAAGCATCGAACTGATCCGACTGTGCGAGGACAAGTGCGTGCCGTTTGCATATTGACAAGCTCACTTAAATGTAACCGCTCGAATATAGATATGTAGTTGGAGGTCGCTTAGTGTATGCCATCATTCGATCTTGTTCATTTGTTTATTTTGCTGACATTTACCCAAGGGATACGATCAATGTGATCGTATATGCCACTTTCAATCCTGCACGCTTCGTCTCCAAACCTGAAGTAGAAAACGCCGATTGCGTCGATATAACAGACCAGGAACAACTACAGGATACCACTGGCCCTATTATCAACGCCTCCACCTCCCAGAACCCGTCAGGCTCAACGTGGGCCGGCGATTTCTCCCAATCGACAAGAGATTTCCTGTTTCGTTCAAAAGAGTCGGGGGAAATATACCCTAGCGGCATATCTCTAATCGACAATAGTCATTCTTCCAGTTCATTTCATCAAGGGACCTCGAGATATGCTGATACTAACAATTTTGGTATGCGATGATATTTCCAAAACTTGACTTTTCATACATACCTTTTCAGGGAATCTTTCAGACGAACAAATGCTGGATATGTGGCGTAATAGCTTCTCAAGGTAAGCGTTCTGACCGAGCTTATGTACAGATCAGCAGTTCTAATCTTCTTCTAAACCCCAGCGATGCACAAGACTGGGATTCTTTTATGGCTGGTGTAGACCAATTGCTTAACGGTGGGAGTGTCTTGGGATCAAGTACCTTTGACCCCTTTAACTTTTGACAACGCTTTGGAAATGTCATGTAAATACATCTTCACTCATTCCAGGGTCGGGCTAGGTTGTATCAGTAATTTTTAGCGATAATGTTCCACCTCATTTTGTTACATAAATTCTGGGAACAGGTAGTGTGTAGAGGTAGGAACAAAAACAAACAAGCAAAGTGAGCGGAAAAAAGTGATTCCTCCCTTGATCTTTTGCAAAGACTGCTATTCCTATGAAAGAATTGTACTGAGTCAACGCATTGCATGGGGATATCTACAGATGCTAAAACCGAAGCCTCTGCCAGTGAGCTGATTTTATTTGCTCGAAAATATTTTTCGCATTTGCTGATTGCGCTTGACGGAGTCGGGAGAATCTTGCTTGATTTCTTGTGTTCCCACCAAGCAACGCAAATCAGAACAACACGTATGAGGAGTATTCCCGCTACCGTAAGTAGTAAAGGGTCTTATGGAACGAAGCGCGGGCAATTGCAAAACAGTGATTTTCAGTCATTTTGTATTACGAAGTTCATACCCTAGCAAATCGATATTACTATGACTTGTTTTGGAACGACATACTCTCTGAAACCCTCCATTTTTGTCCGCGACATTGCCGTCGGCTCATATGCCTGCGATTATCACTAGCTTTTGCCAACCCTCTCTCTGGATTTCGTCCACCATGCTGGGCTGTCGATGACTGATACAAGCTTCCCTTTGACTTCCCTTTGACATTCGTTGTTATGAGCCATTCGGCCTGGACCACTCAATCCAACCTGGATATAAGTCCTTACTGCCCTCGTGGGGTCGACCTTCTAATTGGCTCTGACATCATTGGGTCGTCCGAACGATTCAAATCGCTACTTCTCACTGACGTCCTGCAAAACCAGGAAACCGCACTTTCTCAGATCTGGCTCGATGCTGAAAATGTTTGAACTTTGCTCTGATTACACTTCAGCCGATCGCAATGCGTGTATCACACGTCTTGTTTTCTTCATGATACCGTACTGTCTGTGCTAAATGGAGAGGTTTTTGTGAGAACGGCTCGAGCGCTTAACGCTCGGGTGAAGGTTGACTGTTGTCCGGCGGATGGTAGCGGGCTCTGCCGCCTCTTGGGCCGGCCTTCGCCGGTTATTTAGCTGAATTGAGAACCATCAAGTCTCACTTTGGGGTAAAACATGTGAACTTTATTGCTATGTGCCTGCGGAGCCCAGATTATTACCATAAAAGTAACCTGCAATCATCATGTAAAGAAACCTGATGTCTGTCTGTCTGTCTGTCTGTCTGTCCGGAGAAACCTCGGTGAACAAGTAATACACAAAGCTTCTGACTCTGGGAATCGCAATCACGGCTCCTTCACAAGTGTGGTATTTTACTGGTTCTTGCGTATGAATGGAATTTATGTGAAAGAAAAGGGAATAATGATTATTGCTGAAATTGGCGTGTGTCATTAGCGATCTCAATCTCTACCCATTCAATACTGGTGAAAATTTGTCCTCCAATCTAAGGTAAAAGCGCATTGCATGTCATCCAAAAAACAATATATTCCGACAAAACAAGTACAGCATAAAACCATCAAAGACCATTGAAGAGTTTACTAGTTAGGAATAGTTGCAAGCGACCATTTCTTAGTGTTGAAATTGAACGTCGCCTCGGTGATCGTACCCATGTTATTCCTACTGATAAAGCCCACCCTGCGTCGAAAAGCATCGCTGTTATCGGTGCCGATCGCATACAAGCTGTTCAAGGTACCAATCTTGACGGCAAAGTGCTCGCTATCCAGGCAAGTTTCGCACCCAGTGCCATGGGTCGGAACTGAGCCTTCATGGTACTCTCCCAAGGTCCAGTCGGGCTTGAAGTAATATACGCGGTCCTGAGTAATTGGGTCACTTGGGATGTTTCTGGATTGAGTTTGGACTAGACTTACCGAGTTTTGAAACTGACCATCGTTGTCTACTATAGTCAACGCTGCCAGGGGTGTTCCAAACAGTGCTTCACTGGCAGGTATAATCACTTGAGGTACACCATTGGTGAGGCATGTCTCTGAGCCTCCTCGTACAGGTGCAGTGGATGTACAGAGAACCTTTATGTCCCCGTCATTTCTATCTTGATAGTAGATATGAGTGACGCCCGAATTGGTATGATCTGTGACAGCAGCGATAGCTCCAACAGCATCCACCGGGAAGATATTTGCTGCAGCTTCAACAGAAGCGATGAAGCAAATGGCCTAGGACGTTGAGGAAATATGTCAATTCAAGTTGACGATAGGCAAGAACTGAGTTTTCACGTACAGTGGTTGCAACCTTGACAAGAGTTGAGAAGTGCATTGCGACTTGAAGGATTTAGTCCGTTCAGCTTAGCCTTTATAGCTCTCTTTTCAAAGAGAGTTAAAAAAAAGTGGCATGAAAGGACAACAAATAGTATTGACAAGTTCACGAATGTTTCGATCTAGAAGTCTCCGTACTACATTCTACTTAGTATATGATACTCACTGGACAAGTGTTCAAGACGTTTATCAATCTCTCCAGCAGAACTCTATCTTAATTGGTTTATGTCCCTGGACGGGACTTGTAGTTGCGAACTTGAGTATTTCTCCGGCCTTGGATAACACAGACTCTCCAAGCAGATATTTTGTGCTTGAAATAAGTATCTAAACAGTTGGATAATTTGCGGGTATCTACTTCAAGCTCTATTACTGACTTCCGGAAAGAGGGAGGGTACGAACACGACTCGGAAAGAGTAGTGGTGGGTACTAGAATCAGCTTAGATTAAACTGAGATCCATCGGCCCCGCTATTACCTTCACTTTGTTGTCCAAGGCGTCTGTCTGTCGGAAATTTTGTTCAACAGGTAATACATCGAGCAGACATAGAGCGGCATTCCTAGACAGGATCCATGAAGGTTGTGGCTCTTTCGCGAACGTTTTACCAGTTCTTATAACATAGAACATGTCAGCAATCCGGCTTTTCAATATTATTATCTCCGACTTTTGCGCATCTCAAGCAAGGTTACTTCAAGATGTGTGTTTTCCACACCAATGTCTCTTCTTTTAATCTACATCAATCATGACAGACATCCAGGCGCCCTGAAATAGCAGCACTTTCAGACCATTATATGCCCATCACTGGGACGCTCGCAGTCCCTGGTAGTATATCGGTTAGTACACGCGCCTGTCATTACATCTGAGCCTGATGAACGCGCGAAAGCTGGGTTCGACTCCCAGCCAGGGAGTGTCTAAGAAAACCGTTGAGCTTTTTTCACATGAAACCACTTTTGCTGCGACGTCACCAAATGACACAGAATCGTGAGAAAACCCCCAACTCTCTTTCTCCTCCTTCCAGAATCCACTTGCGAGTATGAATCCCATGGACGAAATTGTTCCCAACCTCTGGCTCGGAGGTCTCTTAGCTGCGCAAGACACGGCCACCCTAAAAGCCCATAATATTTTTTCGATTCTTTCTGCGATGCGAGGCAAGATTTCGATACACGAGACATTTATCAAACACCAGATATTGCTGGACGATACAGAGGAGGAAGACGTGCTCGTGCATCTTATGCCTGCGATTAGCTTTATTCAGGCAGAGTTGGACAAGGGAAGGGGAGTGTTGGTGCATTGTCATGCGGGTGTTAGTGAGTCCTCCTTTTCAACGGTTAGTGGGTGTCCTAAGTAAAGGAAACAAGGTCGCAGTGCGACCATCGTTGCGGCATACTTGATGTACTCCCGTCGAATAGACCCAGAAGAAGCTCTCAACATGATTAGGGACTTACGACCAGAGGTAGATCCCAACCCAGGTTTCCTGATCCAACTCGAGATTTTTCATAATGCAGCGTACAAGATTAGTAGGAGAGACAAAACGACGAGGTTGTTCTACATGGAGAGGGCTATGGAGGAAGTCATGAGTGCGTCCATGCCCACTATACTAGCTGTTAATTAACACTACTTTGTATAGACGGCGACGGAACTCTCCCTACAACAGACATGTTTGCCCGACTTCCTCCTTCCCTTCCCCATTCTGCGCATAACCCATCATCAACATCAACACCTATAACATCCACCCCCTCCACACCCCTTCCGATCCCCCGTCGACGTATCCGATGCAAAATGTGTCGTCAAGAACTCGCAACTAGAGAACACATGCTCGATCATGGACCGGGCGTAGTCGGTCCTTCAACACCAGCTAGTATGACACCTGCGGGGAGTAGGAGGGGGAGCTCTTCTTTACCCCAGTCTAATCCTGGTTCAAAGTCAAGGCACGGATCTATGAACCTAGCTATGACGCCTGCCAACGCAAACCCCAATTCAAATCCCCACGTCAACGCGCACACAGGCGCCCCGGGTCAACCGCGGTCTAGACTCGATTCGCGTTCTGGTTCCACTTCTTCTCCGCGTCCTCGTCGTCCGTCGGGCCTTTCAAATCTCTTGGCGGCGGGTGGTTTGGCGGGTCTGACGATGAGTTCGATTACGACCAAGGATGGGGATGATAGTGCTGTTGTGGATGACGAGTCTTCTTCCTCGTCCTCTGGTGAAGAAGGCGATGAAGAGGCTATGGATGTAGACGGTAGCAAAACAGCCCGGCCTAAAGATATGTTTTCACCGCCTCTTACGGCTAAACCGAAAGCGAGGAGACTTTCGAGGGGTGCATTGGATGATGATGGTGATCAAGAGGTGGACGTGGAACATTTGGAAGAGCTAGAAAAGGCAAAAGATTTGGGGAGGAGAATGAGTGACTCTATACACGCTGGCACCAGTTCTAGCTCCGCGTCTACGTCTACAACGACAGTGACGTCCCCATTCACAGACGGAAAGGGCTCAAGTTTGGCTTCTTCGTTCACCTCTGTTGGATCTGGGTCCGAGTCTGGCGTCAAAGACTTGTCAGAAGACCCCAACAAGAATACCGACGTCAACACGAGCTCTTCTCTTCCATGTGCGTCACCCCCAGGTGACCTCGCCGCTCAATTACGCGCCAATCCCAAACTCGCTGCTGTCGCTTCTCCTTCCTCTGGAGGAAATGGAGGTGTAGAAAAGAGGAGAGCGCTAAGTATAACATCCGGACCCGGGGGAGTCGAAAAGGTCGTCGAAATAGAGGCTACTTCTACATCTTCTCCGATAGCGGCAACGGCATCGACTGGGACTGGGAGTCTAAGTCGGGAGCCGAGTACGAATGCTGGGGGAGGAATAGGTTTCTGGTCGACCCGTAGTCCACCAATTCTTATAAACCCAAAATGTTCGGGGTATTTCGTCGAACCTGTGAGTCTGTTTCCTCTGTCTTCACATCCATATCTCGATTACTTATCAACTCTTCGCTTTTCAACAGATGAAATGGATGGAACCCTTCCTCTCCTCTGGCGCCCTTGCTGGAAAAATCATCTGCCCAAACAAAAAATGCGGAACCAAGCTGGGAAATTACGATTGGGCAGGTGTTTGTTGTGGGTGTAAAGATTGGGTTGTTCCTGTGAGTGCATGCTATCACTTGCTTGCTCGAGATTTCTGATCTCATCTAATTGAATTAATTTAGGGGTTTTGTATAAGTCGGTCAAAAGTCGACGAAGTGGTATGAAAATACCTGGACTTGTTTTAACAATACTAGGCGAGCGAGGAGAATTTTTAATATCTGTACTTGCAAATTTTGGGTTTTTATGTTCTGGTTATTTGGTTATTTGTTGGGTTCTGGGTCCAAAGGGTCGCTCGCTCGCTTGCTTGGACAGGTTGAACAGTATTATTGGCTGGAGGGAGTGGCTGTTCCGAAACGATATTCCTATTACATTTGGGATACTTTCGTTGCGTGCTGTGCTATATATACACGAACACTTAAGATGGGGGAAAGAGGAACGGATGGGAAGGGATGATCGATGGATATGAACGATGGACAAATCATACAAACTCGATAACAGGTATTGATGAGGATAATGATGAAAAAAGGTCATGTACAACTTTTTGTATATCAATGGGTAAGAATCAGGATGTTATGCTTTGTTGACCAAAAACTAGTACTAGATTGAGCCATTATATTGGGTTGTACGTTTAACGTCAGGCTGGGTGCGTTGCGTGGTATAATATACTTACTAGTACTGGCAGAGTTCCGTACCTACTTCCTTAACTTAATGTGTAAATATCGTTCTTGTTTGTTTGGAAAAGAGTTGATTGAAAGTTTACCAGACGAGGATCTTCAGCACACGTGATTTAAAAGACTCAGCCACCTTTCATAACATCTCCCTGGCTGGGAGTCGAACCCAGCTTTCGCGCGCAGGATATCCAGAGTACTTTCGTAATGACAGGCGCGTGTACTAACCGATATACTACCAGGGATTGAACTAGACTATATATCTTCCTCTAAGGGACGCCTATATTGCCTGCTTGTCCTGGCGCTTTCCTTTACGATGCATATCACCCTTATTTTCGCCAGTGACGCCACTGTGCGTCAGATTTCATGGCAAGGCGCCGCCCAGTGGTATCGTCTTGAAGTTGAACTCCCATTGCAAACTTTCAAGTTGCAATCAAGCTATTCATAACCGGGCTTCTCATAAATAAACAATTTTCCAGTGAAAATATATGTACAAGGAGGGTATAAGCTATACATAATACATAAAAGAGAGGAATATCTGAGCTACAACCTACCAGCAGTGATATATACATCAAACTACACAAAAGAAAGGGAGCATCTGAGCTTACTACTTGAATTCATTACACTTTTTCTGAGCGACTGGTCACATCATTAGTTGCCCTATCGCTTTCACTATTACCCCCACGAGAATGCTCTCGACGAAGATCAATCGTATGGAACCTCTGAGGATCCTGAGATTCGACGGCTGTACTACGCGACGGGAACTGCATAGTAGAAACCACCTGTTCGACGTTGTCGACGCTCTTACCACTTCGAGCACGGACAACAATCAGTGTCGGTGCCAGTCCCTTGATGAATGGAGTTACAGCTATTCTCAGAACATAAGGCGCGGCCAATTTTTTTCCCGCGCGTCTGACAATCTTCCAACCCAGTCTTCCGATGGTCAAATCTCATAAATTTCATCTCCCCTTCACTCAATTCTTGAAAATCAGGGCAGTTATTGATGTAAAGCATGTATTCGAGCCATTCTCCACGTTCTGAGCCACAGTAGATATGGGAGTCCAAAATTGGTAGTAGCCCTAGTACCATGATTCTGGTATGGGCATCTAGCTATACACTGGGGCATCCCATATTTTCAAGAATTAAGAAGAAAGAGCAAAAATTGATGGTGCTAGAGCCTGCGGAAGATTGGGCTTGGAAGATTGAAAAGGATTTTTTGACGCGCGAGAAATTTTTGGCCGCGCCTTATTTTCTGAGAATAGCTGTAATGATATGATATGAAATAGAAATTGAATTACTCACAGCAAATTGCCATATGAGGGGATCAATGGACACGGGAAGTATAGTGTCGACTTGCGTAGCAAACTCAACGGTTGCGTTGATGATGAGGACGAGTGGGTATATCCATCCTGATTCAAGGCTGAAATGGGTCACAGCAGTTTCTGAATTAGGCACTTTCGGTAGATGTAGGAAGCCGCATCAACTTACACGATTGCTACGATGGTTCTGTATCTCTGGTCTACTTCATCCCCCATCAAAGCTCTAGCTTGACGGGTGATCCACCAAATTCGACTCGCTAATTATAAGGAACAATGGGAGTTTTTTAAAGTAGCTTTGCAAAAGCAAGGGGGGTGTACGTACCAGTCATCACCGTCAAGAAGGTGTTGAAGACAGCTATGCAGACAAAGAATGTGCTATTCATAATACCTCCCGTGTTCAACAGCTTCAATTTTGTCTCGATGTGACGTGCACCAATTTCGTACATGACAATGCTCGCAAGAGCAACGGCTGGGTTGTATATCAGTATCGATGTGGGCAGATCGAACAAGAGTTTATTTACCATTGAGCAAGATAGATATGAGAAAGAGGGGATATCCGATTCTTTTTCTGGAGCCCCAAATGACGTGACATCGGTGGATCTGAGAATGCAAAGGCTCTGAGTCAGGCCGCGGGGACAATCCCGTCCTGAACTTTGAAGTTACTTACAAGCATGGCATCAGCTATGACACTAAGGTGATAGTTGAAGCGTTCAATTCACACGCTTGTACTAAAGGGGATACTCACTTCGTCAAAATAGTGACAACATTATTGATAGTACTAAAAACATCAGCCCCCAGTCAACTGCTTGCGAATAACTTAGTAGTCGTAATTAGTACGCACCTCTGAATTGTTTTCATTTCGTCCCCAGCAAGGAACCGGGTTAACTCCTCGAACTCCTGTGTCCTTGCTGCCTCATGCTCGATTGTAGCCTGACGGACATACTCCCAGGTTTCAAAGGCATTCGCGATTGTAGCCAGGATAAACAGAGAAGTCGTTCCGGCGAGGTAGAAGGTCGAATTTGGAAGTCGATCTTTGTCTCGCCAAGTAGTTTGGATGCATGCTCCGAAGATCATGGGGTAGATCCCTGCGATAATCCAATTCATGCATGTCAATTACTTGTATGCTTCGACAAGACGACATACCGTAGACGAAGAACATGAGCTAATGGAGATCCATTCAGTTCGACGCCTTCAAGGAAAATGATCCAGGGAACAAATACGCACGGATAGTGTACTAATAGGTTGTGTAATGACACTTTCAGAGGAGAGCTCTGGGACAAATTCTGACTCTGAGGCCATCCTGAGTAAGACCTGGGGGCTTGGAGAGATGACCAAGTTGTGGAAATGAGTTCATGTAAGAAAGCCTGCAGTGATTATATGTATACAATCTTATTCGGTTTGGATACGGAAACTTGGAGCTACCGGCGGATCAATGCTGGGAGCATCATCCTGCACTTCTTATACTTGAAGAAATATTTCCCGCACTATCATTAAGTATCATTTATGCCGAAAATTATGTCTTAATTATCTTCCTTCTGCAGCAGAGCACCGGGCCCGTTTACAGGCGAGTGCAGCTTCATTACTTCCATAATCGTTAATCTCTCATACTGTTGGTATTTAGGAGTGCTGAGGTTACAACATAAGTGCATCATACTTCATGAGGTCTCGTCTCAAGATGTCGAAGGAAGGAAGAAGCTGGAGTGGGAGTCTTCGTAATGATTTGTGATAAGGCATTTCAAGTTCATAACCATTGATTTCTCATGCTGTTGATATTTGGGAGTGTGGAGATTAAAAGAAACATCATAGTTCTAGAGGTCTTATCTCAAGACTTAGAAGGAAGGGGAGTCTTGTTGCTTTCGTGACATAACATGCGCAGCATTTCAAGTTGATTCTTGATAGAAACAGTACGAGAGTAGACTTGGATATTGAAGATAACTAATATGAATATGAATCTCTTTTCCACGGGAGTTCAGTGCACAGCCCGATATGGAAACGGAGGGACTAGATGCTTAGTCTGAGAAATAGAGTACCAGCTGCAATATGTACTTCGAGTAAGCATAATAGGGCTGAGCCGTAATTGTGGAGTAGCAACCAAGTCTATATCACATAGAAAGAAGTCCGGTCTGAGAGACACAGTACCAGTTAAGTATAACCTGGTCAAGTGCGGAGCCGTAATTGTGGAGTAGCAACCAGGCATACATCACATAGAAAGAAGTCCGGTCTGAGAGACACAGTACCAGTTAAGTATAACCTCGAGTGTGGAGCCGTGTTTGTGGAATGATAACCGCTAATTTGAACATGTAGTATTACAGGAATATAGGATACCCTGATATTTAGCGTTACGAAATCCAGCAGGCTGCTGTAACAGACTGATCTCAAAAGTCTCAACCACTATGCCAAAAGGCCAGCAATACTAACTGAAATTAGCATTGTGGGATCTACTATAATTTTATCTTGTATGCCAAGCCTCTCTGAATTACTCATGGCAAATACAATCTAATATATCCAACTTCTTTTCATTTTAAAATTGCAGGGATTTTGTGTACAATATTTAGATGCTGATGCACATTCAAATAAACTCTTGTAGCTAAGTTGTATCTCAATGCAAAATCTTAACCTTTAATATTAGAAAATGTAATTTAAAAATGGTAAGATAATTATTCTGTTAATTATGAGCATTCTCTGGGCTCTAATAACCCTGCATTGTATTTTGTGATTAAAATTTTTTAAATCATAACTTCAGCACTTATAGACAAATTTGAATAATCTTGAGCTTAAATCTGACTAAAGCTAAATGTTGTTGTTATGAAATTGAAATTACTGTGTAACCCATCTCTGTCTCTAATTACAGAAAACTTGTAAACTACAGTCAAAATCAGTATCACAGTGAAACTCAAGCTACTGCACTTTTATGGCAAACCACTTTACTTCCTTTATAATTTTGTTCTGGAATCCAGTGACTTCAAAACAATACTTTTTACTTGAAACTTCTCTCATTGAAATTTGAGATCAATCAATCAATCACAGCTTAGGACTTTTAGGTAGCTAAAAAGGTCCCATCTCTGAATTTGGTCAAATACTAATTTTTTCATGGACTCATGATGTAGCTTGATACCTTACATCATTTATTATGGCATTTGACTTGTATTTTTATAAGACTTAAATATCTAAGTTGTTGCCATTCAAACCTACTTCCGAAATTTTCAATACAAATTGAGACTGAATGATTTTGAGGAATTTGCTCATTCAGGGTGTTTATTTTTTCTTAAAAAAAATCAAATGTAAGTTTAAAAGGAATACAATTGATTGCTTAATTTAAGGGGAGGCCTTGATAAATGGATTCCAAAGTGAAAGTGACAATCGAAAGTCAACCCTACCAACCTTCTGAGCAATACTGAACACTCAAGCTATTTTCCGTAAATGAGACAGTGAATTAGATATAAGAATGATTCTTAAAATTGCCAAACTTGTACAGGTCAAGTCTCTATTTCTGTAAGTAATTTTAAATATTCCTACAGCTCTCACTTTCTTTAAGCCAAGCCTCCTATCCGGTCGGGAGTCAACTCCGTTCTAATGTCGGACAGATCGCAGTCCTCAATTCTCTGACCTGCCACTAATGATTTGACAATAGACACTAGCATTGAGTATAAAAACTTGTGGCCTCGTACATGCCACGCGAAGCGACGGCCTTCTTCCTTTACAAAAGGCTTCTGCACATACTCAGAATCGCCACTCCCTCTCATTGCGGCTATTTTTCGGTATAATCGGTGTAGACAATCCCAAATGGATCCGGTGAACTCAGCGACCTCCTGTATTCTTTTCGACGGGACAACAATCAGGTGCCACGACCGGCACACTCATCACGCTATTTATGGGCAGTCCCATAGAATGGGATAAGGGTGATCCACGCTCGGTTTCCACACTAG